TATATATATATATATATATATATATATATATATATATATATATATATATATATATATATATATGCTTTGACTTTTTTCCAAACTATGCTAGGACGAAACCAAAGTCTTAAATTTCGATAATATTGTCAAAATCAGATTTTGGGAACTTACAAACATAACTTGAATCTTAGGTGTCCTGGGTTTTTTTTGGTGTGTTTTTATTGTAGGTACTTAGTTTGGTTGTGACAACAACAATAGCGACGACATCGATGGCACCGAAGACAGCATATTTATGGGTCTTCTTTTCGGGTCTATAGTCATGGGTTGAGGTTGGTTGTTGTTGGTTTTCAGTTTTTGTTTTGGTCCAATAAGTGCATCAACTCTGTCGAGTTTGATGTATGGTTGTGGTTTCCCTTCGGGAGAATTTGGGTTTGTAAGTTGCATTATGGGTGTTGTACTTGGTTTTTATAGATTTGAAGCGATTAAGCCCGACTGATTGTGGCCTTGTGTGGCTTTAAGTTGGTCTTGCATTGCTTTAAGTGAAGGTGTACCATAAAGTGGTATTTCTTGGTTACTTTTCCAACATTACCAAACATGATAAATGAATCTTCTATTTCCTATCCCTTGGGAAAAGACATGGGAAATTATTTCACATCAAATTTTTTTCGTGAACCAAACGAGACTTAAGTGTTTCGTGTATTAGGGTGATAACCGATTAAGAGAGAAATTTAGAAAGCTTGAGTTATTGTGAGCTCTTGGGTTTATGAGGAATTCTCTATTCTAAGGAATTGAAAGCAGTGAAATCACATTAGAGTTTTTATTTATTACAGATGTGATTTCTTCTTCGATTTACTTTTGCTACTTTCTTAGTGGATTTGTCACCTGTGGACATAGTCCAATTTAAGATGGACCTTGTTAAATTATTGTCTTGACTTTCTTTTGTTGTTGAGAAATTCTATGATTGCATTCATAATTCAGCCAAAAAGACCACTAACCACAAGGAGTCAATACAAACTAGCCACAAAGGGCCATTACAATAATGAAGCTATCTAATATTAAAATTTAGACAATCTGGTGTGCCTCTACTAACGATCACGCAAGATCAAAGAAACTCTAGTATAGGCATCCTAACTAAGATTGCAAAACTCAGAATAATCAAGACGAGATAAAGCTTTAAAAAACAAAGTCATAACAATACAAATAAAACTCTCACAAAGGAGAGATGAAAAACGCTCACAAAGGAGAAGTGAAAAACTCTCACAAAAGGGGAGGTGAAAACTACACAGAGAATCCAAAGAGTCTCTATGACTTATTCCAAACATAAAGAAACCGCAAAAAGGATGGTGGTTGAGATCCGATGCCGAAACGCAGGCGGAGATTTGACGCCGAGACGCAGCTGCATGTGATGGTTGAAGAAAAATCATAACAAAATGAAGACAAATAAGGGAAACCCTCTGTCTCTGAGAATAAGGAAACCCGCATGTGATGGTTATATATATACAGTTCTCTTTTATTAAGGGATTTCTCAAAATAATTTTATTTGAGGGACACCCTTAAGGCCAACTACAATTTTATTTTCAATGATCCAAACCATCTGTATTTTAAGTCTATATTCATAGATTATCCTTGCAAAAAATTACACAAATTGAAAAGCATTTTGACATCTAATTGAGTCCCACAAAATCAATGAACACGATGGAGATCTGACACCGAGACGCAGCCGCATGTGATGGTTGGTTGCATCTATTTCATATATACATATATATATATATATGACTATCGACAAAATATATGGTTTGGATTAGTGAAATACTATGCGAGTGGGCCGTATAGGGGTGTCTCTCAAATAAGCTTATTTAAGGGATGCCTCAATTGAAACTCTATATATATACAGTTCCATTCTATTGAGGGATCCCTCAAATAATTTTATTTGAGGGATAACTTTTAGGGTCCCCTACGAAATTAATTTCAACGATCCAAACCATTTATTTTTCACATCGTTATTCATAGATCATCCTTACAAAAAATAATGCAAATTGAAAATCATTAAGGCAACTAATTGAGACCAACAAAATCAATGAACACGGTTTTTTAAGAAAGTACTTGAATTTCAATAATTTAATTGAGTGATTAAATGATATCAGATTCAAGTGATTTTTTTTTTGTAGAGATGATCTTTGAATGAATATATACAAAATAAATGGTTTGGATGTCAAAACGGTCCATGTGTTTTACCATGTTGGCCAATTTAATCCCTTTGTTTTCAATTTAGCCAATTTAGTCACTGTGTTTAGAATAGTTATCTAATGTGATCCAATCCATTAAATTTACATTATAAACCTTTTTTTTGTCTTTTGAAAACCGAAAAACCTTTTTAATTTTTTTTGTTTGAAGAATTAACTTAAAAATATTGAAACTTCATTAAAACATAGCAAAGGACAAAAAAGACCCTCTACACCAATACCTTCAGAGCTCATAAGCTGCAATTTCTTCAGCTTCTCCAAAGCCAACCCAAGCCCCAATCACCATCTCCAATTCCAAATAAACAAAGATTTTCCAAATCCAATTATGCATCAGAATCCTTGTTGCATGACCCATATTTTGTATTGGCATCAACAACTAGCTCAAAACCTTCCCCACAGCAAACCAAGATTGATAATTCATTCAAAGAAGGGAAATGAGAATCCACAATTTTGTGTGTGATAGCATTTTGATGGTGGTGGCGGCTACGATGGGCGAGTAAGGGGAGGTAGCTGGGATTGGATGGTGGTGCCTTGTTTTTTAATTTTTAGTTTTTAATTTTTGTTTTTGGATCTCATTTTTATTTTTTTAGTGCTTGTTTATTTATTTATCTATAAATTAAATTAAATTATTATATTAGTTTTTAAAAACTTTTTAACATCAAATTAACAGATTGGACCACATTTGCTGAACTAAGTGCCATGTGTGCAAAAAAAATTTACAAATTATCTTTTAAAAAACTTAAT